CCTCTGCAGATTATTCATGAGCGGAACGTGATAGCCCAGCCTGTCAGCAGATACTCTGATTGTGGCTCTTCCTAAGCACCATATGGATGCTTTCAGCCTGAGCTGCAGCCCCGCTAACAGTTGGTAGCGTGGATGAAAACCACCCGACACGCGGCGCTCGGTATTGTCGGCCCTGCCGCCGGGACTCTCCCGCACACCCCAAAACCACGGCTGCGCCGTTTCACCGGGGCTTCTCCTCCGGCCCGCAGCCACACAGCCCGCGATACTATTCTGAGAGCGTGGCGGGATTTCCTCAGCCCAGAAAATGTTTTCTAAAAGGTATTCGTTTAAATAAGAAAGAATTCTGTTGAAACAGAAATTTGGGGTGGCTAGTTTAAATTTCGGATGTATCAGCCCTCTGATGATCATCCACCATGTCTCACCTGCTGTCCCTGGACAGTGATGTGATGGATACAGCATTCATAGACCTTAGGGCCGTTTTTCTTTCCTTGATTAGTCACACCTTTAATGGGCTCATCTTATAATTATACAGCCACCGGAACTGTATGACCCTGAATCACAAAATTAGGCAACGAACCCTCATTCCAGCCTGTGAGCGCAGCATCACTCTGACTTCAATGCATCGTTCCACCCCCAAAAATGCAAAAATCCTGATAATCTGGTTAGAAAACGGCCCTTCTCCCTAGACTCATAAGGACACTGCTGGCTGCAACTCCCTGTCCCTTCAGCCGCAGAAGTTGGATTGTACAGCGAGATTGTGTAGCCCTATTGCTGCAAAACGGTTCTTATATTTCAAAACACGGTGCCGGGAACATATGTGAGAGAAAGAGAAAGAAAGGCAGCTGAAAGTCTACAGCCAACAGCTTGTGTCAGAAAGCTGCTAAAGGAGGAAACAGTTGGGCATTTTTAATGGCGACGTGGTATCTGAAGGATGAACGCGAACAAACTTGGCTTGCGACTGAAATTGTTTGCGATCTAATCAATTTCTGACAAAGCGCACGACGCCGGGTGGCGAGCTTCGAAGTGAATTGGAACACCTGCCCCTCAAATTTTGTTCCCCGCACGTAAACTTTGCCTCCTCATGCTCATGTCTATGTGTGCTGCAGGCAAATCACTAAACTTGCACCTCTGCGTGGAGGCGAAGTCGCTTGAGAGCCCATGTTGTTGAGAGGGGACATGGTGGGACACCCCGAGGTGGCCGTGGCTGGGTGTTGCTGAGGGGGAACATGGCAGGGTGCTCTGAGGCGGCCATGGCAGCGTGCTGCTAAGAGGGGGACATGTCAGGGCACTCTTGAGGCGGCCATGGCTGTGTGCTGCTGAGGGTGGACGCTGCAGGGTGCTGTGAGGCGGCCATGGCTGTGTGTTGCCAAGGTTGGACACTGGCAGGGCTCTCTGAGGTGGCCATGTCTGTCTTTCGCTGAGGGTGGACACTGGCAGGGCCCTCTGAGGCAGCCATGGCTGTGTGTTGCCAAGGTTGGACACTGGCAGGGCTCTCTGAGGTGGCCATGTCTGTCTTTCGCTGAGGGTGGACACTGGCAGGGCCCTCTGAGGCAGCCATGGCTGTGTGTTGCCAAGGTTGGACACTGGCAGGGCTCTCTGAGGTGGCCATGTCTGTCTTTCGCTGAGGGTGGACACTGGCAGGGCCCTCTGAGGCAGCCATGGCTGTGTGTTGCCAAGGTTGGACACTGGCAGGGCTCTCTGAGGTGGCCATGTCTGTCTTTCGCTGAGGGTGGACACTGGCAGGGCCCTCTGAGGCAGCCATGGCTGTGTGTTGCCAAGGGTGGACACTGGCAGGGCGCTCTGAGGCGCCCATGGCCGTGCGTCGCCGAGGAGGAACATGGCAGGGCACTGAGGCGGCCACGGCCGCGTACCCCCAAGCGCCGGGGGCGGCGGCGGGCAGCCGGGGGAGGGAGACCCCGCCGGGGGAGGCGGCGGCCGGTCCGCCCCCCCCCACTCAAG